TTGCTTTTAGAAAACGGATCTGTCTTTGTTTCTCCCCTCCCCCCAAGGTATTGCCATTTGAGGGAAATATTTGTTATTAGACTCGTACCCAAACGATCCAATGAAATAAATACACAACTACTTCTTTACTTTATGAAATAAATTTTATATTTAAATCTATGAATAATAATCTTATTACCTTAATTAATTATTGCCTTCATTTAATGAATAGAGGTAATGTATTATGAAAAGATGTCATAGCAAGATTTCTTTATTACTATTCGGTATAGCGATTTAAATGTGTGGTTTTATATGATATCTTAGTTCTTAGGGACTGATTCATAAGCGAGTAGGTTAATTGTAACTGTTTAGTTTAAATTCTTAAGTGTTGAACTGAAATCCACTTATAAGATTAGTTTGTATTTTTTTTTAAATGTTCCTTTTCCCCACTTAGTTTTTTAAAAACATTTTAAAAATTCTATTGGTAAATTTTCAGATTGGAAATAATTTTTTTAAACTGCACTTTAATTAATTTTTATCATTGGACAAATATTCCTTAAACTTTGTGCTTAACCGTCAATCATATCAGATTAAATTTTACCAGATGTTTAGAGTTATCTTTGAAACTATAAACACACTTTCTGTTTGTGTATTGCGATTTCATTTCAAATATATCCTCGCTGTTTAGCGCTTTTTTGAATTTAATACTGAAATGTTATCTTTATGTAAACAGCGACGATTGATGAGATGATTTATTATTTATTTGAGAATTCCATATTCTAATTGTATGTAGGTATATCGATTTTCAATTTTAGAAACCAAACACTCAGCCTGCACAGGCCTGAAAACTCAGGGAAACTGTAACTAGCCGCCTCTCTAAGGAGTTTACAAAAGTTTAAACATAGAAACATAGGTAACTATGGTGTTGGAGTGGTACAACATGTTTCCACTGAAGTTTTCTTGTCTTTTTTTAAACTTCAGTAGCTTGGATTGCCGGATATATGGCAAAGCACTTGAAGGATATTTGCCGTAGATTCGGAATACTTTTATTGGTTGATATTTATGGTACACCTGGAAAACCAAAATAACGAGTCAATGCTTTCTGCGACTGGATAAATAACTAGTGTTCCATTGTCGTAGCTATTCGGCCTGTGGTGGGCCTTTGGAATTGGAGACAAAGTGTTTTTACGTACGGAGCTTTGTCTCTTCTGTTTTAAGAAAGATTAGGGTAGTTATGATTATGAATTTCAAATATTTTTCGTTTTTAGGAGTTTCAGAAGTTAATGCTTTAACAGCATGAATTTATTTTAGTTGTTGAGGAACCATATTTTAGTTGATGAGGTCTTGCATTCACTGGCCTTTTGTGCTGATGTTCTGGAAGAATAATGTGGGTATTCTGAACTGAAAAATAACCGCGTTCTGCCGTTTGTCATACTATGATTGGATGATAGTTGCAAATTATTTCTACTGGAGTTTTAACATTGTATCCAGAGGTAGATTTACGGGATCATGCAAATCAAAATCGCAAGGAAACCTCACCAAATAATTAATATTTTTAAAAACTAGTGAACGGGCCCAGTGTCTTAAGATTAGAGCGCTCTTCTCTTCTTAAATCCGCTGCTGATTTTGTCTGTAGTAGCTCAAATCAAAGGGCCTGGTCCAATTTATTTCTAGGTCTCAAGGAATTCCTTTTATCACTAATGGTACCACACATACTGGCCTACCATCAATACACTGGCTTCTCCTTTTAATTTCCCAAGTGGAAACTGTTGCCGCTCACTGTTTTTATCCTCTGACGATTCAGTTCCTTTATTTGATTAAAGTATAAGTGCGTGTGTGTTGGCGGAGTCAGTTAAATAGCTAATAAAACTAAATTAAATGCTTAATAAGCTCAGTTAAATAGGTAAGAGGATAGAGTTGTATAATGTCATGTTCTCTAGTTCCTTTACCTGTAAAGGTTTTTAAAAAAATGTATGAAGTTATTTCTTGCAATTCACTGTGTGAATGAAAACTATTAACATATTAACAAATATTGTTAATATAATTGATAACAAATATTTTAAATTTATAACAAATATTTTAAATTTATAACAAATATTGTTAATAAAAAATAATTCTGTATGAATGAATGAATGATATTTTTATTTCCGTGTACATACTGGAAAATTAAAGGAACAAGGATGAGAAGGTGCTTTATCAGAGGCGTAGCTAGGTTTTTCAGCGCCCTGGGACAACTGAAGATCTTGCGTCCCTTTCTGTATGAATTCTGACCCTTCACTATGAATTGTAATATCAATTTGGCGCCCCTGGATTGCTGCGCCCGGGGACAGAAGTCCCTCCTTGCCCCACCCTAGCTACGCCACTGCGCTTTATGCCAATTCTATTGAGTGAAATCCTATGAAAAGTAGTTGTTTAATGGCTCAAGGTCAACTTAATCGAATACGATTCGCATTCTTTATACAGAAATGTGCAAATTTTTGGGCTGGTTCTATCTTCACATGTGACTAGGAGTGTAAGAGGTCAGATTGTAATTTTAAGGATTGTGGGAGTAGTTGGATAAAAATTTCACGTTAATGCGGAACATATCGCTGAGAAGGCATTTGACGGCTTGTGAGGAATGGCGTTCGATTTGGAGAATGGAAGCGAGACAGGCACTAGCGCAAGTCTTGTTAAGATCTAAAAGTAGCTAAAAACAACCATGGTAAGAATCGAAACAGTTTAAAGACATTGATAATGTATTTCAGGTAACCAAGCCAAGGTCAAAAACGTGCAGCAGACTCTTTGGATCTTTGCTTAGCATCGATTGTTAAAACAAGTAGACAACTGACGTCAGCCCTGATTGCGGGGGAGTTCGCTGCAACTATAAGAACTCGACTATTCAGAAATATTATATTCGTTTATTCACTGTGAATTGCAGCCTGCATAAGAGAGGGCTGTATTGCAAGAAAGCCAATGGTTTGTATTCATCTAACTCTGAGTCCAAAATGCTCTCAGTTACAGTGGTGCAGAGATCATCGGGACTGAAGTACCACGGAGTTAAGTTCTCTTTACTAACGAGTCTCTCTCTCTCTCTCTTTCTTTTTCTTTTTTCTTTCTTTCTTTCTTTCTTTTTTTTTTTTTTTGTTGTTGTTGTTGTTGTTGTTGTTGTTGTTTTTTGGACAAGGATTTCAGACGCGTATCTATCCGGGGAAGAGAGCAAAACACACGCAATACGTTTGAAAATATTTGTGAAAGGAATCGGTGAAGTAAAGGTCTGAGTGGGCTTACCTACGCATTTTTGCTAGCGCATTAATAAATACTGCAATACACAGAGATGAGGGTTCTTCATCCTTATATCGAGTTGTTTAGACATAAAAAAGATTATGACACCCTCTTAATGGATGCTAATGTTCGTCTTCATTGCGCTGCACTAATGATCGATTATCTGAAAGCCAAGAAATTCAGTGGATAGAGCGGCTTTCATAATCTCCGAATTTAAATGCGTTGGAACGTCTGTGCGATGGATCTTGCATCATTGCAACCCCCACCTAGCAATGTCCAGGAGTTTCAGGGTGCTCTTTTTCACGAGTAATATGTTACTATAGAAACTCCTACTATAGAAAAGTACCCAGCATAGGAACTAGACGTAAAGCTTGCATTTTGCTCAGGGGTGACCACACACACCTTAATTTTTCGATGCATCTCTTTTGTAACATCAAATTTTTCCAACTACACTTTATATCGCATTTTTTGTGATTATATATATTATATATATTCATATATATATATATTGCAGAAATAGGCAATTGTGTGTTCTGATGCAGTGTTGAAAATGATAAAAATCTTCTGCAAATTCCATGTTCTTAATTGAAAAATCGTTCAAGCTCCATAAGTTTTTATATTTGTTCCTTTAATTAATTTTTGCTCGCCAACACATTATTGTCACATTGTGCCTTGGGTAGAAGGTGTTAGCACCAGGGTACCTGGGCTGAAGGCCCGACCCCTTATCGAACAAATTGGGTATTTTTAAATTTTCCTAGCCATAAAGTGAAAAGTATTATATAAACAATGATAAAAATTTAATAAACATAAAGTAAGCGTGAAACCAGTCGAAAGGTGAAAATGCCAGAGTACCTGGAATATTGTTGGAGCTGGTGACTTGAAATATTGTAAGAGTTTCTTAATACATGAGAGATAAAGGCAGTACAGAAGCATTCGGTGAGATACAAAATTAGGAATTAAATTTAGTTAAGTAAATACTGTAGATAAAGACACTGGTAATATAACTGTACTTTAAGATGGGAAATAAATTTACTGAAATAAGTGGGGTGAGAATCATAAGCTATGGCAATATACAAGAGGAAAACTGTAACCACGAGAAAATATAAGGTTATTTGTCAAGTAATACATATAAGCTACAAAAAGAATTTTTTTTAATATTATATCAATATTACTCTGCGTATTACTTGCATAAGATTCTTCACTAGGTTAATAATGAAAGGTAGATCGATGTTTTCCGTTGATTGAATCTCGGGCATTTTGGCAGAAATTTTCATAATTATATTAGATAGTGAGAGTCCTTTGAACAGATTACTTATTTCTTTAATAAGTTTGAAAACTTCACCCTGGAAACTCAAGTTAAAGTTGTTGCTATTATTTTTGTTTACATCAGAATTACTTGGTTTTAATGAATGTATATTAGTTTTGCTGCCGTTTTGAGTAATGTTTGCATAAGATATGCCATTAGTGACCTGAGAATATTTAGTTTCTGTGGGTTTTGCAATTGCATTTTTGTCATTATTCCAGTGAAGATTAGCATTGTTTTTGTTAGGTTTAGGGAACTTGGAACAACCCCTGAAAGGGGCAGTATGTTCCTCTCAAACAGTTGTAGCACTTTACTACATCAAGTCTCTTAGCTATGCAATGTGCCTTGGGTTGTAGTCTTTCCATCGCGATGTTTGAGCCCTATCAAATTTAAATTATTTATGTCAGTTTTTTTCTTTTAATATTGCATTTTGATTTTCTCTTTTTGTTTATTTCAGAAAACACAACATGCACGTCAGAAAATTTTCGGTGTTCAAATGGTAGGTGCATTCCAAGGAGATGGGTCTGTGATTATCAGAGAGATTGTGAAGAAGGAGAGGATGAATATCAATCTTGTTGTAAGTACTTTGGCAGTTTTTGATTTTTTTAATTGGGGGATTTTGTATTATATTTAATTCTTAGATTCAGATTGATTACGTGCTCCTACTTGGCGGCTTATCCAACAATGAAAACCTTACTTTTACCAATTTCACTGAATATGGTACAGAATAGGCAAAAAAGCCACATAACTCTGATTTTCACGAAGTTGCTGATAAATGTCCTAAAACATATAGCACTTTTATTTTGTTCCTTTAAAGATACGATGTAAAAATTGGAAATTATGAAAGCAAGAACTTTCATCACTATTTACTGAAGTTAAATCTGCTAAAGTCGTGGGAAATTGCTCCTCTAAAAAGGTTGGTAGGTTATCTAGATGGTGTTGGCAGAACTTTTAAATACCAGTAACTGCAGAAGAGTTGTTTTTGTTAATTACATTTCATGTTACAAGTGAAAAAATGATTGAAAATATGTAATAAGAATGTATGCTAACATGCAGTGTAGTAGGCAAATTAATTTTTGCTACTCTAGCTCTGTGGATGACTGCCCTAATAAAATTTCACATATTTTGCATCACATCTGTTAATTTAAAGTGATAAATCTCATTTAAAGTAAAAAAATCTCACATCTGTCAATTTAAAATGATAAATCTCATTTAAACTAAAAAAATCTCACATCTGTCTATTTTAAGGTAAAAACTTAAGGTCTTTTCACTTTCCTTTCATTTATAATCATAATGCATGCCGTGATCACCTGATAGTGCTTGTTTTCTCCTCCTCATTTGAGACTGTAGTTCAAGTCAGTTTTCATTTGCACACTTTTCAGGAAGCAAAACAAATGGAAAATGAAGTGAGGGGAAGCCAGAATTAGGGACCATCTTCTGTAATGGTCATTACCATAGTTATGGAGGGGAAAACTGGGTGAAGGAAAAATGACCCTAAAGTGCCTGTTTTAAAGTAATAAACTGTAGTGCAATGTTGGAGCTGCGGAATTCAGAAAATTCTAAATTTTAATTTCCATTTGAATATTTATTGAATTTTGAAGCTTGAGTTACTTCAAAAAGTTATTCTATTACAATATGCAGTTCTGTAACATACTGTTCAGTTCATAAATGCAGTTCATTCAATAGGGTGCATTATCACCTTGGAGAATCCGAGGCTCATGTTGCATTTTGGGATGAATTGACCTATGTAACCCAACAGTGTCCACAATGTATATGGTGATTCTTCTCAAGGAAAAGTTCCAAATTGGTTTCTCTTTTACAGGTTTGATGCTCTTTTTCAGGTCTTCTAGACTACTTCTCATCTTCAAGGAATGTTTTTCCACTTTTAAAAAAGCACCTGTGCATTTTGAAACATTATGTATGACTCATTGCTGAAGCGCATTCAGTGTTTATGTCCCCAATTTGCCCAGTTAAATGCAGAATTTCACATTGACTCATTATTCCACCTTTGTATCCATAATGTAATCCACATACATGCTATTACAAATATGTTACTATAGTAACCCTGGATATTAACACAGTAATGTTTCTTGGAACACTACCATATTAAGACTAAAGTTCATTGTAGCTGCTACTGCCGTATGAATCCTGTAAATATCTATAATGTATCCGGAGATAATTTTAATGGGAATTCCAGCATTTTAAAATTTTTATTTTATCCCGTTAGATTTACAAAATGTTAAGGGTTACATACCCGCCTGTATTCCTCTCAAAATGCACCAGTTTTTACTAGGAATTAAAAAGAAAGTAAAATGCATTAGAATAATATCAAGGCTAAAGTTTTTAATAACTAAAAATTAATTCTTATCTATAAGTGTATAAGTTGAAGTATTTATGCAGTATATGGAGAAATCATCAGTACTACCTTGGAGGAAGTTTAGTTTCAAATTAAGATCAGTACATGTCCTGAGACATAAGTGTTCCATTGTGAGTCTAATATGTAAACTGACCGTGGGTAAAAATTAAAGTGATATTTTTGCTAATAAATTTTTTGTTTGCTTATTGTGTTTTGTTATATAAACAGTATATTTTCAATATCTTTTATTGTTTTAAAATTGTTCCAAAATATTTACTAGTCTCTTCTGTAACTTCTGAAATGATAATGCCTTGCTTGACGTTACATATTCTTAGCCTTATTATTTTTCTAACCTTTCTTCCAGTACTTTTAATACTACTAAAGAATTTGAAGAAATTTGTTTGAATTTCTTGTAATAAAAGTTTGAAATGAATATATCACGTTCTGTGTTTTCTAATTATTGTGAAGAAAAAGGGTAACTTTTTAAGATTTCAATGCCAAGGATTTATCATGTAGTTTGTATTTCAGTTAAATTAGTAATTTTAAATAACACCTATTTTAGTAAATTTTGTAAATGTGTAAAAAGAAAAACATATATTTATTTATTTATTCTTTAAAATCTTGAATTTTTAGCACCTCCACAATGTAATTCTAATCAGTTCTCGTGTGGCCATTATGTTTTTAATCAGTCATTTTGCATTCCTCGATATTGGCGATGTGACAGGATAGTAGATTGTGTCGATGGCACAGATGAAGGAGAAACATGTAGTAAGTATATATTTTAATTAAACTTTTTCTTTAATCCTGCTTTTAAGATTTTATTTATGTTTTTAACTCTTAATCTGAACATAAGATCAGCAAGGCTGAATGATTTTGAAAAAAAGTTTTTTTGACATGGTATAAAAAACTTTCATTTAACCTTGTCATATTTTTATGTTTACTATAGAAAAATATTAAGTTTATCATAGAAAGATAATAAAGCTGTTCCTTTTTCTCTGTGAAGTTTCTATCAGGAGGAAAATAACGAATGGACTCTCTAAAGGCAGGGCCAGTTTGGAGGATCATCAACACCTGCAGTTTTGGGGCCCCTGAACTTGAGAGGGGCCCCAACATGCAGAAATATTAATAAAACTAGGCAGAACTTCTCACTGAAACAATACTTTTGTACTTTGAATTTTTGAAATCTTGCATGCACCGAAATTCCATTTCAGCTATCGAAAATAACACCGTAAAAATCATAGCTA